GTAAATAAATAAAAAAACAGAAATCTGTGACATGCTTGTTCCTGCCTGTGTGGCATCATGCTCACGTTCGGTGACCGAAGCTGAACGTTCGCAACCGAAGACTAACAATCGCCAAAACCCTTCGAACGCAAACACAACAAATATTATTGAAAAAAAAGGTTCTTCAAAGAAATCTCAAAAAAATATATGTTATGTAAAATAATATTACAAACAACTTTTTTTTTTCTTTTTTTTTCTAACAACAAAGCTCATTCCAATTTTGTCCGAAAACGGGTCCGACATCCTTCACATATTTGCAGCCGTGCAAAGTTGGGCAAGGTACTTCTTGGCCAAACAAACTTTTACTGGGATATATGTTCAAATTCGTACCCAATAAAAAACCTGAAAAACAATAAAAAAAATATCCAAAAATATCATTCAGTTTTAAAAATATATGTTCGAAAAAATTCATTAAAAAACATATATTCGACCAAACACGTTCAAGAGGCGTTCGACCGAACACCCCAACGTGTTCGGTCGTTCGGCAAAGCCCCGAACATGTTCGGTATGCTACATAGGTGCCCTWYTTTCTCTTTTTTGTTTTCTTTTTTCTCTCTTCTAGGCCAGACGCTAGACTTATGACGGCCACCCTYAGTACTCGGCCATTGGTTAACCCGATGGTCCCTAATCCTTATGAGACTCCACTGGGGGAAGTTTTTAATTCTCTGACTGCCTTTTGAGTCCTAATTGGTTTCACCAGGAAGCCAGCTATGAGAAACACTCTTAGGGGGGTAGCACGGGGGTCTTGTGGGATGAGAGGATGCGGTTAAGAGGGGGGGAAGGGGGACGGGTGGGGAGGGAGAACTGAACAAGAGATGCACAATATGAGGGATAAAAAAAAGGGCTTAGGATGCCTTACACATAAGAGTAGTCTACAGAGAAGTAGTGTAACAAAGTGCGGAAAATAGCATGTGGATAATTGGATCGACTTCTATTTTGGTGGTGGGAAGGGGTGATGATTTCCACGAAGAATTTGATTTCCTGGCTGTGCTAATTCCATGCGAATAAGTACAGAGAAGCATGTGCCCATTAGATATGAAGTAAAATTTGTCATATCAGTTGTTCCCCATCTTTCAGTAATAAAATGCTTTGTTGAACTAGAGTGGGGGGTCGGGGACAAGGCCTAACAGGACCCATGCCCTGGCAGTGCGCCGCACGACTGGGTGCGTTCTCACCTCCCGGCGCAGCCCCCAACTAGGATCC